AATGGAAGAACAAAAGCTAACAAATTTTATCCAATTGCATTTTTAATTAATCATTACGTCAATCAAGCAAGACTCTTTCAGACAAAATAAAACGTATTTAAATTTTAAAAAGACAGATTATTTGAACTAATTTTTACTTGATGAAAATGTACAAAAAAATCAACATTGTTACAACTCTCTGATATTATATATGTTACGTTGTAGTTTATAGCGCTAAGTAGAAATTAAAATTCTATTCAATCACACATACAAAAAGTTCAAGAAATATGTTTACAAAACATTTTATCTAATCCTATATATTTCCTAAAATGAAATCTGTCAAAAGCATTTCTTTGTTAGTTAGTGACAACACGGAAGTTATATTAATACTGTTACTAAAAAAAATGATTTTAAATTCAAAGGATCTGTTATTAAAATTAGTGTGATTTATGTGTATATGTGTATTTGTGTGTGTATATCACCTTATAATCTTCTCAAAATATCGAGGTATAATATTTAATGTAGATATATGTTGTGTACTCAGCTAACTCTAAATATTCATAGAGAGTTCGATTCGTAATTATTCTCAATGTGCCGAATATTCCGAAACAATAAAGGAATTGTTACAAAATGTGCAAATGTCGATGAAATGTTTAGAATATTGTATGAATACTCTTTGTATATATCACGAAAATTACTCGTGAGCGAGCAATTATACACGTCTCTGCCGACAGAGAACCACGACAGAGAGCATTTACTCGTAAATGCTAATTATAAGAATTATCTGGGAAAAAATATAAGGTACAGTATTTGCCTTCGAGGTCCAATTGTCGCAAAATTGGACTGAAAGGTGAAAACACTTGAAATGTCTTCTTCATAGTAAAATTTTCTTTAAAAGATGATTCAGGAACGATCGGACCCGGAATTTCTGGAAAAATGATATAAATGGAACTTTTAACCGATATTTGAATGTTGTGTTTACATTTCGTAAATATTTCAGAATATTGCGAAATACTCTTGGAATGTTTTTTGGAATTTTAGGCATCTTTTATGGAATTTTTCAGAAATATTTAGCGTAAGCTGAATATGTGTGCATGTAGGTAAAATTAAAAATAACGATATTTATGGAAGAAATAAATAATAGTTTACTTCATTGCGTCATAGTACTTTATAAATATGCATTTTGTGTGTGAGATTAAATAATTAATAATTTTTTATATGTACACAGTTCGCCGAATATAACAAATAACTTTCATGTTAATATGCGGCTTTCTCGTAATTTTTAAATAATTTTAGGTATCAGGTTCATATGTGACTGCGCACGGCACGCCAAAGAAGCTGCGGTTGACGATCTCGCAGGCTTGGGCGGTCCTTGAAACATGCAGATTTTCGCTGTTTTTAAAAGACGGCCATTGTTCGCAGTTCGCCAATAAACTGTACGAACTGCCTGCTTTCCAGCGACGTAGCTAACAGCACCACCAACCAGCATCTATGAATAAATTGTCTTGTTAGATGCATTTCTTTTAAAAAATATAAAGAATACTTAATGTGTTCATTATATGTGTATATATGCGTGTGTAAGAACTTTATTAATGAAATATTTGCAGAAGAAAAAATAAGTAATGATTTTAATTGTTCAAGTATGTACAAATCTTTTTTTGGAAAGCTTTTTTTGTAGCGCAAATTAAATGAGCGATGGTTTAAAATAAGAAATATTGAATAATTGTAAATATATGATAAAAATCTCGAATTATTTAGAATATCTTTTAAAATTAAAAAGATTTTAAAAGTCTTAAATAGTTTGTCTTAAATGTGTTAACAATCTTAAATGTCTGAGACATTTTGAACAAAATTTTTTTTTTGTATAATATTTTGCATTATTATTTTAATTTATTTTCAATTTTATGTGTACAGACGTAGTTAATAATTTCATTGTTTTAAACCAAAAGGATTTAAAATGTATTGAATATTTTTAAGTCTTGAATATTTAAGAAAAATTCATTTTTCCTTTTGCTTCTTTTGTTCGACATTTTATGATGTTATTTTATTCCATTCTCTACTTTATATACAGACATTGAAATATGTTTCTTAAAATTTGAAATTTTCAGGAATTTAAACATTTTGAAGAAAAATTTTCTAGGCACTCAAGACTTTCAAGAGTTTCCAAGAAAAACTTTCAAGACTTTTAGGAATGGTCGGTTCCCCATAATATTCAAAGAAATTCGAGTCTTGCATTTATAAATACAATTTACGATCAATTTTTGAATAATTATTGTAATGGCTCAATTTTTGAATAATTATTAGAAAAAATTTCGAAAAAGATTCGAATGTCTATTACAAAAAATAGACAATAAGAGATCATTTCCTATTTGTTGCTCATTGAGCGAATATGAAAGGAGAAAGGCTCGACGTATCCTTTGTCTCGCAGGATATTAGAAACATGCAGATATAATCAATAAGCAAAGATGTATGATCTCGATGTGACACAGTGTTTATTAAAAGGATGGTCTTTGAGCTTAATAAATGTTAATACAATAGTGGTATTTCTACAGACTCATTGAAGTTTCAAAATTCAAAATAATATGAATAATATAAAAACTTACTTTGCGTCTGTGTGGTTGGAAATATACTGCAAGTGATTGATTAGATCGTTGAAATGCAACTTGATAAGTTTCGTGGAATTTCAAGAGCCGTTGTGTGCTCCACTCTTATATATTTATACCTCATTTGATCTCGCTGAGGTAAGAACCAGTACTGATGTCTAAGTCGCGCACGGCCGGTATTTTATACGATAAATACAACGTCACACGTCATCGAGATAAGAGATCTCACGCGTCATTCACAATTATTGCTATTTCTACCGGGGAGAGGATTTTTGTCCTCTCGGGGCAGACAAGGAGAAGGCTGTGCGATAATTGCGACGTGCGCGCGTGTCTGCGGAGGGTCTTATTCAGTATTTATCAACTTTTAAGCCAAATTGATAAACTCTGAGCGCAACGCTGACGTATAATCGCGGGAAAAATTCCGTTCCGGAACGGTACGGAATATGAACTATGTACGTACATTGTACTTGCGCGTTCTGCAAAATTGACATTTTAATTGATGTTACAACTTGACGTAAAATCACGAGAGATAATGCGGAAATGTAGTCGCGAACGACACTCCAGTTGATATAACAGTAAACAAAACTTTCTTTGCGTCTCTTCGTATCGCATCTGCATCGGTCGACGACTTATCGCTAATAGTCAAACGGAATAAATGTAATTAAAGGATTTAACACGTTATTACGAATAATAAAAAATCGGGTGTAAGGCTTTGTTTTTTTTATCAGCTTGTTTGATTCATTTTTATGTACACATATTTAAAATTTAAATAAAATACAAAACCACAGTTCAAAGATACACAGTTTAAAAATAAGCCTGTTCTTTTTCAGAATTTCAAGTGTTCTGAACTGGTATACACTGGTGCAATAAGTTAAAATGAGACAGGTATAGTTTGTTTCACTCTAACTTATTGCACTAGTTCAGAATTAGTTCAGAATTCTTTGAAATAGAACAGGCTTTACGTAAATCTCATTCACCTGATTTCCTGGTAGAACAATTCTTGAAGTGATTGATATTATACTATACTTGTTGAATTGTTTAAGAGTTTAAGCGATCTCTAGATGCTCAATATTATTGTAAAATTACTTTATACAATATATTATACAATATATTATTAATGCCCTTTTTAAACAATTTAAAACAATCTAGTAAGTCCAATATAGCTACTAAACGATCAAATAATATTGTATAATATCGAATATTATGCGATAAATATTGATTGTTTCATAGAATCACTTTAGATAAATATCGATAAATCTTACAAGTTTTTCCCGCAATATAATTTGATTTTTCAAATGTCATTTAAGTAATCATATTTTAAGTAACATCCAAGTAGAATATAGAAGTCATAATATCACTAGGATATCATTATGACTCATTTGTCAACTTATGGAAAAACACTATTGGATTCACGAAAAAAACGATTGGAAATAATTTAAAAACTATTCATATTCCATATTATATATATATATATATACTCTTTCATTTCAATAGATTTTTCATTAATCTAATATAGTATTTTTCCACAAGGGCGATGTTTGAAATGTATTTTGAAAATATTAAAAATATTGAGTATCTGAAAATATTTAAAAAATGTAGTATCTTATCGATATTTTATAGAATGTTTTCTTCGTTAGTGGAGCATTCCATGTAATGAATTAACATAAATATGATAATTAGATACGCATTTACGTCGATGGAAATTTTGTATAATAATGTGTCGCACTTATTGCGATTGGTTCACGAGACTCTGTTATAAGTGAGATATTAAAAAAATTTCTCCTTTGTGCGAATAAGCAGAAAGTGCACAGCTGAGACTCACGTGATGCTCTCATGCTGCCGTAAATAAGTACATTAGTACAACATGTGATCGTGATATGCGATTAATTCCGATTAATTCCGATAAGAAACCCATGCGTACGTTGCGTCTTATACTATTGATCAGAAAGGTGTGATTTGATAAAAAAAAAATGGTCTCGTATTAAGACTTTTAAAGTATAAGATATTATCTTTTGAACAGGAGACAACATGAACGAAGATTTATACAAGTAGCATGCATAAATTAATCCTAAATAAATTAATCATATTTATTAGTTAATTTACAACTAATAAATATAATTATTAGGTAATATTTGTAATTTATTGATTTACAACTAATAAATATAATTATTAGATAATATTTATAATTTATTGATTTACAATATTAATAAATAAATTATTGGATAATATTTATAATTTATTGATTTACAGTTGGCAAACTAACTAAAGTAAAAAAATATTTTATCTTGTGCCATTTGAAACA